AGCAAGGTTGTGTCATCTGCATATTGTAGGTTGTTAATGAGTCTTCTTCCAGTCCTGATGTCGAATTCTTGATATAGTCCAGCTTCTCAGGTTATTTGCTCAGAATCTAAATTGAATAAGAATGATGAAAGGATACAGCCCTGATGCACACCTTTTGAGACTTCAAACCATGCAGTATCCCCTTGTTCTGTTCAAATGACTGCCTTTTGGTCTATGTACAGGTTACTCATGAGAATTAAGTGTTCTGGAATTCCCATTCTTCGCAACATTATCCGTAATTTGTTATGATCCACAGAGTCGAATGCCTTTGCATAGTCAGTGAAACACAGGTAAACATCTTTCTGCTATTCTCTGCTTTCATCCAAGATCCATCTGATATCAGAAATGATATCCCTTGTTCCATGTCCTCTTCTGAATCCAGCTTGAATTTCTGGCAGTTCCCTGTCGATGTACTGCAGCAACCGCTTTTGAATGATCTTCAGCAAAATTTTACTTTTGTGTGATACTAATGATATTGTTTGATAATTTCCACATTCTGTTGGATCACTTTTCTTTGGAATGACTACAGATATATATCTGTTCCTGTCCGTTGGCCAGGTAGCTCTCTTCCAAATTTCTTGGCATAGATGAGTGAGCACCTCCAGCACTGCACCCATTTGTTGAAACATCTCAATTGGTATTCAGTCAATTCCTGGAGCTTTGTTTTTTGCCAGTGCCTTCAGTGCAGCTTGCACTTCTTACTTCAGTACCATGGGTTCTTGATCATATACTACCTCCTGAATGGTTGAACATCCACTGATTCTTTTTGGTATAATGACTCTGTATATTCCTTCCATCTTCTTTAGATGCTTCCTGTGAAATTTAATATTTTCCCTGTAGAGTTCTTCAGTATTGCCACTTGAAGCTTGAGTTTTTTCTTCAGTTCTTTCAGCTTGAGAAATACTGAGCGTGTTCTTCCCCTTTGGTTTTCTAACTCCAGATCTTTGCATATTTCATTATAATACTTTACTTTGCTTCTCGAGCCACTCTTTGAAATCTTCTGTTCAGCTCTTTCACGTCATCATTTCTTCCTTTCACTTTAGCTGTTTGATATTCAAGATCAAGTTTCAGAGTCTCTTTTGACATCCATTTTGGTGTTTTAACCTTCTTTCCTGTCTTTTTAATGACCTCTTGCTTTCTTCATGTATGATGTCCTTGACATCATTCCACAAGTAGGCTGGTCTTCTATCATTAGTGTTCAGTGGGTCAAATCTGTTCTTGAGATGGTCTCTAAATTCAGGTGGGTTATACTCAAGGTTGTACTTTGGCTCTTGTGGACTTGTTCTAATTTTCTTCAACTTCAACTTGCATTTGAGCAGTTGATGGTCTGTTCCACAGTCTGCCTCTGGCCTTTTTCTGACAGATGATAACGTCCATCGTTTCTTTCCACAGATGTAGATTTGATTCCTGTGTATTCCATCTGGCGAGGTCCATGTATATACTTGCCATTTGTGTTGGTGAAAAAAGGTATTTGCAGTGAATAAGTTATTGGTTTTGCAAAATTCTATCATGCCATCTCTGGCCTCATTTCTATCACCAAGACTGTATTTTCCAACTACCAATCCTTCTTTGTTTCTAACTTTCACATTTCAATTACCAGTAATTATCAGTGAATCTTGATTGAATGTTTAGTCAATTTCAGACTGCAGAATTTGGTGAAAATCTTCAGTTTCTTCATTTTTGGCCTTAGTGGTTGGTGCATAAATTTGAATAATAGTCATATTATGTGGTCTTCCTTGTAGTTATATGGATATTATCCTATCACTGACAGTGTTGTACTTCAGGATAGATCTTGAAATGTTCTTTTTGACGATGAATGCAACACCATTCCTCTTCAATTTGTCATTCCCAGCCAATGTGACATATAATTGTCTGATTCACAATGACCAGTACCAGTCCATTTCACTAATGCCTAGGATATCAATGTGTCTTAGTCATCTAGTTCAGCTATAATAGAAATACCACAAGTAGATGGTTTTAACGAAGAGAAGTTTATTTCTTCACAGTCAAAGTAGGCTAAAAGTCCAAATTCAGGGCGTCAGTTCCAGGGGAAGGCTTTTTCTCTCTGTTGGCCTTCTTCTCTTCGGTGTTCTCCTGGACTAGGAGCTTCTTTGCGCAGGAACCCCGGTCCAAAGGACGCGCTCTGCTCCCGGCACTGCTTTCTTGATGGTATGAGGTCCCCAACTCTATGCTTGCTTCCCTTTCCTTTTATCTCTTGGAAGATAAAAGGTGGTGCAGGCCACACCCCTAGGAAACTCCCTTTACATTGGATCAGGGATATGACCTGGGTAAGGGTGGTGTTATAACCCCACCCTAATCCTCTTTAACATAAAATTACAATCACAAAATGGAGGCCAGCCACACAATTCTAGGAATCATTCCCCAGCCAAATTGATACACACATTTCTGGGGGGACATAGTTCAATCCATGACACAATGTTTATGTATTCCATTTCATTTTTGACAATTTCCAGTTTTCCTAGATTCATGCTTCGTACATTGCACATTCCTGTTATTAAAGGATTTTTACAGCTGTTTCTTCCCATTTTTAGCATCCTTTGAGGTGCTATATATAACCTTTTCTTCCAACAGTATAAATATGCTCTAACATTCTTAGCAATATCCTTTCTCACAGTAGTGTTTTAACAACCTAAATTCATACTGTATCATTCTCTCTGTACAAAATCCTTCAGTGACTTATGATGTCACTCCCCCACCCCTGACTTCACCCTCATTTCATATTATGCTCTGCTTTTGCTTACTACCAGCCCTGAAACCTGAATTTTTTTTTTTTTTCCATAACAGTTTCAGTTAACTCTATAACTCTGTGGATAATTCTTCAAGGTGTATCTCTTAACCTGGAAAAGACTTGAGGAGAAACTAATCCTTAAGACCTATCTGTACCTCATTTGGAGCCCCAGTGGCGCAGTGGTTAAAAGCTCGGCTGCTAACCAAAAGGTTGGCAGTTTGAATCCACCAGCTGCTCTTTGGAAGCGCTATGGGGCAGTTCTGCTGTGTCCTACAGGGTCACTATGAGTCAGAATCGATGCGACAGCAATGGGTTTATACCTAGAGTAGGAACCCTGGTGAAGCAGTAGTTAAGTGCTCAGCTGCTAAAAGAAAGGCCAGTTCAAACCCACCAGCTGCTCAAGGGAGAAAGATGTGGCAGTCTGCTTCCATAAATGTTGTTGTTGTTCGGTACCGTAGAGTCAGTTCCAACTCATAGCGACCCCTATGTACAACAGAAGGAATCACCACCTGGTCCTTACAGTCATTGCCATATTTTAGTCCATTGTTGCAGTCACTGTCCATCTTGTTGAAGGTCTTCCTCTTTTTTGCTGACCCTCTACTAAGCATGATGTCCTTCTCCACGGATTCATCCCTCCTGATAACATGTCCAAAGTACTATTAGGCAGTTCTACTCTGTCCTATAGGGTTGCTGTGAGTCAGAGTCGACTCGCCAGAAATGGATTATGCCTAGTTTTATCTTGAGGACTTGATTGTTAGTAACCTTCTAGTTCCTTAGTAATACTTTGATCTATGCAGCCTGTCAGTTTTCCAGCAAAGCTATAATTTTTAAATTCCATATTCCCCTCCCCTCCAGCCCCAGAGGATACACTTTAAACAAATTCTTCCCTTTGTCCTTACAGTTAATTTTGTTACGGAATAGGGTTTTCCCAGTCCAGCCTTTCTGGAAACCAAGCAAGATGTCTCATTATACTCAGAGGTATTATGGAACAAAGGAAAACATTATTCCTTTGTTTGGCCATTTAAAACCATCCCTAAGGGAGGTAGATTTTATCAGTAAATTTGGAAGTGTGAATAAAGAACCATAATTCTTAACAATTCCCAGTATGATTATTAATTAACATAGTATCAGTGTATTATGGGTGGCAAAAATGGTTAAGAACTGTGCTACTAACCAAAAGGTTGGCAGTTCCAATCCACCCAGATGCACCTTGGAAGAAAGGCCTGGTGTTCTGCTTCCAAAAGATCACTGCTGTGAAAATCATACGGAGCACAGTTCTACTTGTACAAACATGGAGTCTCCATAAGTCAAAATTGACAGCAACTGATTTTTTTTTACTATCATCTTACAATTCTGTAGATTAGGAAATTATATAGAGAATAAATAAAGCAAATATTTTAAATATGCACATTGATGGTAAGATGTATCATGATTCCAAAAACATTAAAATATGGTTGAAAAATCAAATAAATGTACATTTAAGCAGTCAGTTTACTTAGTAACCAAAATAGTTTGGAAAGTTACACTTCCTGTTTGCTGTGCTTTAGCATATTTTAATGTCTTTGATGGGATTAGGTTGAAAGTAGATAAGATTAATAATCACAGTATTGATACCAAAAGTTAAAAAATCCATAAGATACTTCTCTTCTTTCCCTATCCTCTTCTCATCTCTCCGGCTTTGTCAGCCACTTCTAAGGTGTTGGCCAGTTTCGAGGGAAATTAATGTGAATTCAGGAGTGAGTAGTAAAGTTCAGCTTTAGCTTTATATTATTATTCATTAGCTAACAAAAGAAATCAGAGCCTTTAAACATACTTAATCTTCAGTCATGTTTCCTCTCTCAGTAGTCCTGTAAGGTTATAGGAATAGCAAAACTGGAATTAGAAGCTAGACTGTAGGGAGGTTTATCCATTTTTACAATGAAAGCATTATCATTTGCTGATAGAAACAGATTACCCCAAATTTATCTAATGTAAATTAGATAAATTTACATTACAGAGAGCATATAATCTGTATTAGACTTTTCCCTTGTACTTGTTTCCCTTTCCTTGGTAGATATAATGAGAGGGTTCACACAGAAATATTTTTAACACCAGTTAACTACCATTACATTTAAGTAAGCTAAATATCCTTTCTGATGTAAATTATATATAATATCTGCTATATTTGTGATTACTTCTGTGATTTTTAAACTTTTAATATTTAATTTTCAAGTCCTGCCACTGAATCTGCCAGAGAAGAGTCTTCAAGTTTAGTTGCTGAACTTCAAGAAAAGCTTCAGGAAGAAAAAGCCAAGTTTCTAGAACAACTTGAAGAGCAAGAAAAGAGAAAGAATGAAGAAATGCAAAATGTTCGAACATCTTTGATTGCTGAACAACAGGTGTGTTCCCCTTATTTGAGGCTTAAGGAAGGTATTAATAAATTAACAAATATCAGTTGTGTAGCTGAGGTTTTCTCTTATCGTAGATATGGTTCTGGACAGCAGTTGAAGAGAGATGAAGGGAGTGACATCATTGGATTTACATTTACTGTGAAGATTGCTCACTGCAACATGGAGACAGATTAGGGGACTGCAGGGCTGGCAGCTGTGGGCACAGCTTGATGGCTGTTGGAATTCAGGCCAGGGATAATATTGTACATTTCTAAAACTGGTATGCATGTTAAAATTGCTGCGTACGTTTAATATTATATGGTATTTTTCGTTTTCCTAAAAAGTGATGATTAAATTAGTGTCATTTTAGAATTGAAAAATTGTAAATCAGGGTACAGTAAGAAAATAAGTCTAGTTCAGAACCCTTGTTGTTGTTAGGTGCCGTTGAGTTGGTTCTGACTGATAGCGACTCTGTGTACAACGGAACAAAACACTGCCCAATCCTGCGCCATGCTTACAGTGGTTGCCGTGCTTGTAGCCACTGGGTCAGTTCATCTCATAGGGATTTCCTCTTTTTCGCCGACCCTCTACCAAGCATGATGTCCTTCTCCAGGGACTGATTCCTCCTGATAACAAGTCCAAAGTATGTGAGACAAAGTCTAACCATCTTCGCTTCTGAGAACCATTCTGGCTGTACTTCTTCCAAGACAGATTTGTTCATTCTTTTGGCAGCCCATGGTATATTCAATATTCTTCACCAACACCATAATTCAAAGGCATCAGTTCTTCTTTGGTCTTCCTTATTCGTTGTCCAGCTTTCCCATGCATATGAGGCAATTGAAAACACCATGGCTTGGGTCAGGTACACCTTAGTCTTCAAGGTGACATCTTTATTTTTTAACACTTTAAAGAGGTCCTTTGCAGCAGATTTGCCCAGTGCAGTGTGTCGCTTGTTTTCTTGACTGCTGCTTCCGTGGGCATTGATTGTGGATCCAAGTAAAATGAAGTCCTTGATAACTTCAGTGTTTTCTCCGTTTATCTTGATGTTGCTTATTGGTCCAGTTGTGAGGATTTTTGTTTTCTTTATGTTGAGGTATAGTCCATACCGAAGGCTAATAGTCTTTGATCTTCATCAGTAAGTGCTTCAAGTCCTCTTTGCTTTCAGCAAGCCAAGTTGTATCATCTGCATAAGACAAGTTGTAATTAGTCTTCTTCCAATCCTGATGCCCGATTTTTCTTCATATAGTCCAGTTTCTCGGATTATTTGCTCAGCAAACAGATTGAGTAAGTATGGTGAAAGCATACAACCCTGATGCACACCTTTCCTGATTTTAAACAACATAGTATCCCTTTGTTCTGTTCGAATGACTGCCTCTTCATCTATGTACAGGTTCCTTATGAGCACAGTTAAGTGGTCTGGAATTCCCATCCCATTCAGAACCCTTAGGGACTTTAAAATTTAAGGTCTGGAGAAAGAAAGAGGAGCCTACAAAAGGGGAGTAAGAAAGAGCAACCAGAAAAATAGAAGAAAGTGTAGTTTCATGGAAGCTAAGGAAATGTATTTAGGGTGGAGGGGGTGGAGTAGGAGGGGAAGGAGCCAATTAAGTAAAAATTGTCTGTGAAGAGTTCGTTAATGACTTGTCTCTACTTTTAATAATATGAATTTATAGATTCTTTTGTTTTATTCATTCTGTCTTGTTATCTCCTCGTGCACATATGTACGCTTTCAGATTTCCAGAATTAAGTTGAGGTTGAACTAATTGAAACAAAATATAATATCCTGTAAAATGATACTAGAAGAGGTGATTTCAAAGGTACCTTCCAATTTTAAATAATGTGCATATTTAATGGAAATTAAAGTTAAAACGATAATTTGTACCTAACTCTATACGGGTGACTACTTGAGCCTAGTTAGTCTTTATTTTAACTAGCCTTTCTTTCCATTACGCCTATTATAAATTATGATAATGTTCCCCAAAACCTGTTTCATATTACAGAAACAGCAAAGTCCATGACGTGAAGAAAGTGGTTAATATGCTTTACAAATATTTATTGTTTATGTATAAATAAGTGATTAATAGAAAGCTATATTATAAATGTTCCTGTGTCACCTTTCTGGCTAGATGTATTAAAATGAATTTGTTAAATTTTCTATCTAAAAATGCTATATTATTATTTTTTTAAGTCTCCCTGTTGCCAGCATTATTGGCATTATTTGTTACTCCAAGGACCATAGAACATTTTGATGGTGAATAGGTATAACTAATTTTTTTTTAATTTTTAATGGGAAATGCTGAAGAGAAGATGGGAAGAGTCATTTTACATAATTTCATCAGTGATTATTGTTGTTACATTTCAATCAGATATTCTTAATGGAAATATTACAAATTAAATTTTTTATGTTATACTCATCTTTATAAAAGAAGCTTTGCAGTTAGAATTGCCATATTGATTCATGAGACCACTCAGTGCAGTTCTCAGGCAGTTAGATACATGAGCTTCCCAGTAAAGAAGCTTGTAAAAGTTGAGGAGTAACAAGTCAGTATAAATCAGAGGTCCGGTAGCCATTGCTGAGATCCAAATAAGGGAAGGACTCGGGATGAAGTCCACTCTAAAATGTTGGTGTGGTAATGAAGAATATAATTAAAGATAAAAAGAACATTCCAGAGGTAGGAAGATTACTCAAAAGAAAAGTAAACGTCTTCAAGTAGGGGATCATTTTACTTCTTTCCCCCAAATTTCAGAATCCTCTGCTGATGCTTTTCGTCTGACAATAAATACGTGAACATTAACAGAAAAATAGAATTCGTTTTCAAGATATTATATATGGAGCCAAGAAAATATAACCTGTATCATAGTATCATAGCTTTGTTTTATATTGTAACTTAGCATTTTTATTTGAAAATATAGCATGATTTAAAAATGATGTTTATCTTCTCCACACATGACCACATGCAAACGTATTTGCAGGTTTATTTTCTTAGCCGGAGCTGCTAAGTGCATGCAGATAACTTAAGTAGTTGTTATTCTTTTGTTCCAGACCAATTTTAACACTGTTTTAACAAGAGAGAAAATGAGAAAAGAAAACATTATAAATGATCTAAGTGATAAGTTGAAAAGTACAATGCAGCAACAAGAGCGAGATAAAGGTTAGTATTGTTTTATTGTAACAGTTTTCATTCCTTTTTAAAACTAAAGATATGTATTCATTTAAAATGATTTTTCATTACATAATGGTTATTTCAATTTGGGGACCCTCAGATTTGATAGAGTCACTCTCTGAAGATCGAGCTCGTTTGCTTGAGGAGAAGAAAAAACTTGAAGAAGAAGTCAGTAAGTTGCGTAGTAGCAGCTTTCTTCCTTCACCTTACGTAGCTGCAGCCCCAGAACTTTATGGAGCTTGCGCACCTGAACTCCCTGGTGAAACAGAGAGATCAGCCATGGAAACAGCAGAGGAAGGGAGATTGGATTCAGCAATGGAGACAAGCATGATGTCTGTACAGTATGTCTGTCTTTTATATTACTTAAGGGTTTTAAGCCACTAGTTACAATTCTATAAGCTATAAAGTTATAAAGATGGGAAATGTGTAACATTACTGGTTGTCTACGGTCCATATATCTGAAAGTTGTGTCATTACAATCCTTTAAACTGTAAATGTGAGAAATCATTTTAACATTGCTGACTGTATGACCATATGAGTCTCTTGGAGGATGTTTTCATACTACACATATATGTGTGTCAGAGTTTTTCTAGGCTGCCAGGCTAAGAATCAGTGCAGTGGTAGTGAGCCATTTTTATTTATAGGCAATGTTTAAGCCTTGAGTTCCAATAACTAGGATAACACATTGCTGTAGTAATGAATAATCATAAATTATAGAAGCATCTGGATTGTGGTGCAGGTGTGTTGGGTGGGGAAAGATAGGACTGAGGAATGTTTTGAAAAGTAAAGTGTATTTAGGTTCCTGTCTAGTTCAAAGAAAAGGATATAGAAACTGGTTAACTTTAGACTTAGAAAGATAGAAAGCTTAAGAATGTATGTTAAAAGCAGCCAAGGCATAAATATACAAGCATAATGTTCAGAAATCAAATCCCACTTCTCTGACACCAAATATGTTGATCAGTCCAAATTGATTTATTATGAGTTCTGTTCCCCTTTGTCCCTCTTCTAACACTAGCTGCACATGCAGCACTTCATCCTCTGACGCTAACCACCAGAGCTAGGTCAGAGTTCACAAGTTAAAAGGTCACAGTCCTCCAGACTGCCAAGTCTGCCCTAGACTTCTATGCCAGCTGCAAGTTCAGGGGTCCTTAGGGCTCCCTGTCACTCCTGATATAAAACCAAAACCTTTGCCGTCGAGTCGATTCTGACTCATAGCGACCCTATAGGACAGAGTAGAACTGCCACATCTTTCTCCTGCAGAGTGGATTTGAACCACTGACCTTTTGGGTAGCAGCCTAGTGCTCAACCACTGTGCCACCTGTGCTCTTCACTTCTGATCTACTGGCTGCAAATTTGGGGGTTCCTTCTACCCTCTCAGGATAGTGCCTCACCCCAGGGCAGTCTAACCTGCTGGTTCCCACTACTCTCCCAAGCTTGATAATTTGCTAGAACAATTCACAAAACTCAAGAAAGTGCTGTACTTAAGATTACAGTTTTATTATTACAAAAAAGGATTCAAATGAAGAGAGGCATAGGCCGAGTCTGGAAGGGGTCCCAGTGCGTAGCATCCATGTATCAAAGGGTACGCTACCCTTCCACATGCTGGTCTTTCATCAACCAGGAAGGCTCTGGAGCTTCCATGTCTGGAAGCCATGTCTGGGGCCTCAGTCCCGTAGGCATGATTGAATCTTCCACTCCTCCCTTGAGGTGAGCTAATATCACCTAGTCTCTCTGGCCTGGCTGGCCCCCACCTTAGTCATGTTATTAGCATAACATGTAAGGTAGATGTGGTCTGGAGCCCTTATAGATAACAAAGACATTTCAGTCACTGGGGAGATTGCAAGGTTTTAGAGGTTACCAGAATCTTTGGGCACAGTTAAATTCTTTACCCTACAGATGGTAATTAAAAAACATAACATAAACGACAGAAATTAGTCCAAACAGCTGTGAATGAGATAAACTGACTTATTACAACACAATCTCTGGGGGAGGGGGACAGGGAACAAATCCATCCAGCTACTGTCTATATACAGGAGAGGCACCTAAAGCAAAATGATACGGAAGGTTTAAAATAATAGTATTAGAAAGATGTATAAGGCAAATAATAAGGAAAATAATGCTGGTTATCTGTGTTACCATCAAACCTGGATTTCAAGGCAAATGGCTTTTAAAAAGCTAAAGAGGAATATTTCATATAGAAAAAGGGCACAGATCATCAAGAAGCCATTAGTTGTTAATTTGTAGATGCTTAAAAATGTGATTTTAATAAACTGTCAGTGCATCAAAAAGGGATTAAATATAAAATAAGAAATTTTCAGACCCATAGTTAGGATACTTTTGTCCCACAGGAAACAACAAGGAAGTAAAAATAAATAGAGAAATAGAATAATATAGTTATTAGCAGTTTTAATCTAATAGAACAGTTAAGAAAATCAACTGTATACCTAATCACAAAAGTGTCAAAATTCCAAATAGTGATATAATTTAGGCCACTAAATTATATAGCAATAATATTAAAAATTAACAACAAAAATAGTCCATACATCTGGAAATTTTAATACCTCCTTCCATCTAGGATTAACGATGATATAAAAATGGAGATTGAGTTAATCAAAACTAAATAAAACTATCAAAAGCTGAAGGATATAATCAAGATGATATTCATGGAGAGCTATATAGCCTCAATTACATTTTTTAGAAAATAAAAACAATAAAAGAAAGTGAGCAAAGGTAAAGTAAAAGCTATTTGGTAGATGATCAAGTAGAAAGAGTGTACAAATAAATACATGGAATGCAAAGAGGTACATAACTATAGTACAGAAGTGGTAGGATATGGGTTAATCTCACTTGTGAATAGAAATGCAAAAAATCCTAAAGACATTTCTAGCATATCAAATACAATGGAATGTTAAGATGATGTAGTCACCATGACTGAGTGTAGTATTTCAGGAAAGCAATAATAGTTAAACATTAGAATATCTCTCAATGTAGTTCACTGTATTCACAGATTACATGAGAAGGATAATGTCATCTCAGTAGATGTAGAAATGGCAGTTGATAAAATTCAGTGCTTATTTGTTAAAAATATAATTTTTTATAAATCCTTAGTAAAATAAGAATAGAACTTTTTAATTTGTTAAGAGAGCATATGTGAGATACTTATAGAAACATATTTAATGTTGAAACATTTAGAAGTATTTTGTATAAATTTAGAAAGAACGCAAGAATCCCAGCTATTGTCACCATTGCTATTCAGCAAGACAGTAAATAAATAAACAATTAAAAATGGAAAGGAAGAGACTGCACGGTCACCATTTCAAGATAATAGCCTTTTCAAACCATGAAGACTTGAACAAACTTTTAGAACTAATGAGAGTACATCAGGGTGTAAGTCATAGATATATCCAAAAAAGTAGTTTGCATATTTACCATCAAAAGTCAGTTTGAGTATATATACAAAATCTCAATAGAATTTTAAAGAAGTAATTCGTTAAGAGTAAACCTAACAAAAAATGGGCAAAATCCTTATGAAGAAAACTGTAGAACTTTTCTGAGGTGTATGAAAAGGGCTGAAAGTTATACATGGAAAGATATGCCATTTTCATGGATGGAAATACAGTAAGGTAAGATAACGTTTTCTCAGAGATTTGTTTATAGACAGTATAAACTGAATTAAAATTTGAACAGAATAAGTTAGGTAAAAATTGGTAAGTTTGATGCTAAATTCATGTAGAAAATAAATGTGCAAAAACAGTTAATAACATTTTCAAAAAGATTAGATAATAGGGGTTTGTCCCACCAGATGTTAAGATACACTTAAGATACAGTATTAAACTATTCAGTATATTATTGGTATTAAAAAAAAAAAAACTTGTTGCCGTCGAGTGTATTCTGACTCATAGCGACCCTATTAGGACAGAGTAGAACTGCCCCATAGGGTTTCCAAGGAACATGTGGTAGATTTGAACTGCCACCCTTTTGGTTAAAACCATAGCTCTTAACCACCCACAGGCAAGTGCATTAGTAGAATTGTTAGTCTTGAAACAAACCCATGGGTATGTGGGAATCGATATATGGCATTTGAGGTCCATTTGGAAAAGGATGGACTCCTCAGAGTGTGACATTTATAATTGATTTCCCATTGTGTGTGTGTGTATGTGTATGTGGGTATAGAAGGAGAATGGTTAGCTTTATATTTTACCCAAAATAAATTACAGATGTCTTAAAGATTTAATTTTTTTAAATAGCTATAGAATTTCCTAATGCTGTTACATCCAAATTAAGGATAAGACTAAAGTAAATCATTGTCTCATTTTTAGAGAAAATATCCATATGTTGTCTGAAGAAAAACAGAGGATAATGCTGTTAGAACGGGTAAGTAAATTCTTTTCTTGAAATACAATGTTTAGTATGTTCACTTTGGGGATGCAGTTAAATAAATTTAATTCTGAAAACATACTTTATTAGACCATTTCTGTTTTTGCTTATAAATTAAATCTTTTATCTTTATTTTTGTGATTAAGATTTTGAGAAATCTTACTATTTTGTGATTCAAGCAGCTAAACAACTGGCAGTAATATTTCAGGCCTCTCATTTGTCGTAACTCACCTGTTAATGAACTCTGTATCAGAGAAAAAGGTTGCTAGTCTTTACAAAATAGAATAATATTCTATTACATAGAAAATATGGTTTTATTCAATAACAGTTCAAAATTTGCTGATCTTTACAAAATAGAATATTCTGTTATGTAGAAAATAACTGAGTAACACAGTAACACAATGGCTGCCAACAATGGACTCAGGCATAACAACAATCGTGAGGATGGTGCACACCGGTCAGTGTTTTGTTCTGTTGTACATAGGGTCACTCTGAGTCAGAACAAACGGTATGGCACCCAACAACAAGAACATGTAGCAAATACAGTTTATTCAATAACAGTTCAGAATTTAGGAGAATATTATAAATAAAAGTTTTGTATGTTTATTTAAAAGAATGTTAAATATACATTTTTAGAAACTTGGGCAATAAGAATGAACAGTGGGGAGGGGGGGGATTCATTCTGCAGATAGTAGACACTTGTTGTTTTTGGTGATGGGAAAGGTAACATCAAATGAGAGTGAAATGTACACAACTTAATGAAGGTAAACAATGTAACTAAAAACCACACAAGAAAAAAGGACCTGTTGGTAACTGCTGTGGTATATATAATTTTGAAACAACAGCAAAAGCCAAAAATATATGGATATATATGTATATATTTAGACATATATGTGTATAGGTGTATATATGTGCATATGTATAGGTATATGCATATGTGTATGCATCTGTTTGACTGTATGCACATATGTTTTTATATATATAATAAAGCACATAGGAGGCACATTACAGACACTTCTTAGACATAACCAAACACCTTGTGGGATTGGATTTCTGGGTTTGAAGGATTTGGACCATAGTCTCATGGGACATCTTGGTCAATTGGCATGATAGTTCATAAAGTTATGCTGTATGTCCTAGTGTTGGGTAAATAGCATCTGGGGTCATAAAAGCTTGTGAGTGGCCATCTGAGGTACAGCTATTGGTTTTTATTGGTCTGGAGCAAAAGGGAAAGAAGGAAACCAAAGACTCAAAGAAGAAACTAGTCTACAGGACAAATAGTCCACATGAACTACCACCTCATCTACCCTGAAACCAGAAAAACTAGATGCTGCCTGGCTACCACCGCCTACCGTTCTAATCATGGCGACAAAAGTGGACGCTGATAGAGTGGTGGGGGGAAATGTGTACTAGATCCTCAAATTCCTTAAAAAGATACCTACTGGACTGGTTGAAACTGGAGGACTCCCCAAGACTATTGGCCTAAGATTGTGTTTAAACCCTGAACCAAAACTAACCCTGAGGTCCCCTTGTAGCTAAATAACAGATTGGCTTAAAAAATATTATCACCCATAAGTACTTTGCTCCTTTAAAAAAATCACTTATATGAGACCATGTGGTCAACAGTTACTTTAAAACAACGATGAGAATGTAAGAGTGCAGGGCAACTAGATTAATGGAAACAGAACAACCAGAATGGGAATAATGAGAATGTTCACACATTGTGAAAAATGTAACCACTGTCGCTGAAAAACTTGTGTAGAAATTGTTGAATGGGAACCTAAGCTGCTGTGTAAGCCTTCACCGAAAACACAATAAAATATTTTTTAAAAAATTGAGCAATGTACCATAGTAATGAATGAAAACATTTAAAAAAAAAATGGTGAAGAAAAGAGTTATTTTTTTTAATAAATGTTAATTGAAATGAATAGGAGAAAATTTTCCGTAAGAGGTTTACCCTAGTGGTACTCTCAGATGAGATCTAACTTTTGTACGCATTTGTTAAATTTTTGTTCATAGACCAATTTTTATCCCTTAAGGAATTGAAGGTTTTCAACGATGTCTTTTAAGTATCTATAAATATAATAAATAATCCAAATTAAAATCGTATGGCTTTGTTCAAATGTAGCATATTTTGTTTTTTCTTAAAGTGTTTTGTGACCACCTCTATCAGAATCACCTGAAGTGTATGTTACAAATGTAGATTTCTTGACCTTAGGTCAGACCTACTAAAACACAGTCTTTAGGATTGGATCTCACATGTCTCCATATTTATAGGTTCCACAGATGATTCTAATTCATATTAAAGTTTGAGAACCTTTGGATTAGGTAAATGTACCTAAAATTGTTCTGATTGTCATTTAAGCTAGTAAATAAGAGTTGAAAAAGATTCATAGAAAATATCACTATTAACATTTCTTGCCGGAAAAACCAAACATTAGTCTGACGATTATTATTCTGTATAGATTTCTTTGAGTAACTATGAGAATAAACCACAGATTTGTACCCCCCCCACCCCCCGCAGACATTGCAGTTGAAAGAAGAAGAAAATAAGCGGTTAAATCAAAGACTCGTAAGTTTTTTCTTGCCAAATTGATCTTGATATTTTTTAATTATTTGCATTGTGTTTTATTATAAAGATACATTTACGACTGAAACTGCCCCATAGGGTTTCCTAGGCTGTAATCTTTACTGGAGCAAATCGCCAAGTCTTTTCCTACCAAGGAGTGGCTGGTGGGTTCAAACTGCTGATCTTTGGATTAGCACCTGAGCTGTCAACCACTGCACTACAAGGGCTCCTTAGGTCAGGACTTACATTGCTGTAGATAGATGCCAACTCATGGCAACTGTCACCTGTGAATTTAGACTTTTTTCTTGGCATGAAAGGAAATATGTTTTGTTGAGAAAAGACTGTGTCAGTCTGACCACATGAACTAACTTACTGAGATATTTTTAAAAGCAACAAAATTATTGCAGTCTTACGAATCTTGAATCTTTTTTTTTTTTAAATGAAGTTGTCTGGAAAACATAGGAACCTGTATAGTGTTCTGAGTTACCTTGGCTTTACTCTGACCTGTGAATTTAACTAATTACTTGCATGGCCAACTCAAGTTTTATAGCCAATGATAATTGCTTTAATTAAGCAATTCATTTTCCAGCTTCTAGTATATACTGCTTACGAGGAAATAGAATTAGTTTAAGGCACCAGTTTTAAGGCTTGTGTTCAATACTTTTGAACAAGTCTTAAGATACTGTTTAGAATTGAGCTTTTTAAAAAGTAAAATATCATAATGTAGCATCTGCTTTCCATTGTATGTCTTTCTTACCTTGAACATCATGAACCACTTATTAATTCTACAGTGATTGGACTGTTAATCATTAATTTATCACCAACACAGTCTTAAGGCTAATTGTTATTTCTACAAGACTTAGAACTGTCTATTCCAGACATCACTTAACATGTGTTTTATGCAGTAGTGTCAATTGTAGATAAGCTGTATTTGGCAGGAATTTTTGTCATCTTTGTTCACTGTTGTGTCTCTAGCACTTAGAACGGTAACCAGTACATAGTAGATGCTTGATAAGTATTTATAAATAAATCCAAAGAGTATCCCATTCCTACCCAGAGAGAATGTAAATCATTTAAGTGTAAATCTGTGCTGTTCACTTAGAGGCATTTCTGTTCATTATTTTTTGTTGTAAGACAGTGTTTCTGCCCATGCTTTGTGCAACTGTGCATTGGGCCCACTTTGCTTGAGAAGGTAGGCATTCTTGCCACTCTTGTAGGCCCCAGTTCTTTGGAACAAGTGCTTATGCATCACTTGATGGTACAAGGACAGACAGTGGATTGAAGCCTTATTTGAAGAGGAGAGCTTTCTTGGCAACAGCTAATCAGTTAGCATGTATTAGTCCTTGTACTCATCAGCAACAGAGGAAATGGCTGGCCCATTGGATCTTTTATTATTTAGTGATTGCAAAAAATGGTGTTTTTTTAAACTGAGGTATCTCAGGAGTTGAGTTAGAGATAAGAGAGAGGAGACTTTACCAACCCCCATTTCAACCAAAGCAGTGTTTTTCTGTTTTTTGTTCGTTATTGCTCTGTAGATACTGGCTTCTGAATAAGGGTTTTTTTTAAGGATTTTTTTTCTACCAAAGGAAAGATTTGCAAATCTATGTGCTAGAGTTTAGCAATTCCTCTTTAAAAATTTCCTTCTCTTTCTCTGTGGTATTTGATTTTTATGAATTAAATTTGTAATTATAAATTAAATGTGGTTCTATGTTCAGTTTTTAATCCAGCCAGCTTTGATTAAGTAACATAAGTAAAAATGTAGATAAATTTGTCAGGTGAAACTGTTGAAGTAATAGAATTATATTAATGAAAGTAAATAATAAATAAGTTTGGACTATTAAAAGTGGGGACACAGCCTTAATTGTGTGTAACATATTCTAAAGAAATGTTTGTAGCATGGACCTAATACTAATAGTACTTATGATGCTCAAATTTTATAAGCTTTATGAACTATTTCTTTTTTTTTTAAGATGTCTCAAAGCATGTCTTCAGTATCTCCAAGGCATTCTGAAAAAATAGCTATTCGAGAGTAAGTATTTATTTATATTTAGGATTTTCTTGTATGAAAACAGTACTGAATTGAATAGTATTTAATCGTTGATTAAGAAAAATGTATTTCAGTGTCTAAAAGCCCTCTGATCAAAGTTCATTGAGTTTTTTTTTTTTTTTTTTTTTCACTCAGTGGTACTACAGTTTTTGTAATTGGAAAACCCAATTTGTTCTATGTTATTCTGGAAACATTAGGATTACATTCTAAAATGTTCCTATTACATCTTTAATTCACACAAATATTCTTGGAGACTTTCTGACTCTAGTTAAATTTCTAAATTAATCTCATCCCCTTAGTCTTTTCATTTTTGATTTGGAGGGTCTTGATTTGTTTTAAAGTTGCAGTGTTTCCTTGTTTTCTTTTTCAGACTTTATTTTATTGACATGCTACAAATTCATAATACACTATTAAATTTACTAGCTGAAGAATAGTCAATCTTCCTGGGCCAAACTAATCCACTAGTAATATTGTTCTTTGGCTTGGGTTATTTAAAATGAGTCTCTGGAATAATAAAGAAAAGCATTGTTAAAATTGTCGCCCTTCTATACCTGACAACCAAAAAAAACCCAAACCCATTGCCATCGAATCAATTCTGACTCCTAGCAAGCCTGTAGGACAAGAGTAGAACTGCCCCGTAGGGTTTCCAAGGAGTGGCTGGTGGATTTGAACTGCTAGCCTTTTGTTTCACAGCCACATGCTTAACCACTGCGCCAGCAGGGCTCCTGATGAGATGAATCCAAAAATCATTGAACTAAGTATTTTTTAAAACTATTTGTTGACTAAATTTTGGTTGTCACTGACCCTTGACATCTCATTGTAATTTTATCTTCTGTTCGTAATTTGAAAGGGCTGGGTGGTATCTGTCTTTATCAGTTGTATGTCAAATGAATGGGTAGTCTGTGGTCTTTCAGAGATTAGAGAGAGGTGAGCTTAAATGACACTGCTTCAGAGAGCCCCTGCCTACCCTTTTTGAGGTAATATGTTCTGATGTTCAGCCAGAACAGTGCCTGCCACGTAGTAAGTCGGTAAGCTGTAAGTATTTGTAGGATAATCAATGAATATAAGACTGTTTGCTTTTAAAAGCCTTCCTAGCTGCCGTTGATGTGATGATTTATCAAGTATAGGACCTACTGAATTAAATGATCTTGACAACGAAGAAATCTAAGATTAACTTTCACAGCCTATTGAATATGTTTTGAACACATTTCTAAGGGCACTGAAGAGACAACCACTTACTGCATGCAAACAGTTGTACCTCCTTCTTTCTTTCCTCGTTCCTTTCTTTCAGTCATATACCCTAAACCAGTGATATCCATTATCTTGTTTAGACCCTGTGAAGCTCTTTCATGGTAAAGAGCACTGAGTTGGGGCCGGAGAAGTGGCTTCCAGTTTTTTCTTTGCCACTGTGACTACATATAACTTCGTTGTCTCTGAAGTCTCATTAAAACTTGTTTCTTGTTGTAAAATGAAAAATTTAGGACTATAATTTTCCTGTGACTAGGTGAAATATAATGAGTGCTTATTTCCCCCTCATCCAAACAGTTTTCTTTCTTTTTTTTCCTCTTTTTAAATGTTAGATAATACTGGAAATTTGCCTCAGGACACTTGGTCTTTGACAGTTGCTAGTAACATCCTGTGAACATCTGTTGTACATGCTGAGCATTCCCATTAGGATGTTGCACAGAGTACAAAAAGAATGTCATGTAAATGTGAAACTTAGTATTGCATTAATACTTGACTAGATAGTTGAGCACTGTAGAATATATCCTTAAGTTTCCAGAATAGGGTGATAGTCACTCTTCTGTATAATAAAATTACATTACTTTATTTAGTTTTCAGGTGGGAGATTTGGTACTCATCATCCTAGATGAACGCCATGACAATTATGTATTATTTACTGTTAGTCCTACCTTATACTTTCTGCATTCAGAGTCTCTGCCTGGCCTGGATCTCAAACCAGGTGAGGGTGGTAAGTGTCACATTCATAACTAAAATATTAAACCTTGAGTGGAGGAGATATATTAAAGATTATTTCTTCCCGTCATTTAATTATATCAGAATTTGTTCATTAACAGGAAATGCTGCTTAACCTGTTTTGTTTTTTCAGTATAAAATCCATATTATCCAGCTTGTTAATGGATTCCATTGACATTGACATTTGAATATTAAGAGTATATATAGTTCATGTAATGAATCTATTGAACAGAATATGTAGTTGATTCAGACGTTTCATACCCTTGCAGTAGCAGAATTATATTGTCAGAATTATTCTTTTATTATAAAATGTTCTTTCCATCCTGTTTATCATCCTGTGTTTCTGCCTTGGTTTTCATTAATCTGGTCAATACTTTTATTTTGTCTTAAATGGTAGTAAGCTTTATTTAAATATGTTAGGTATAAATGTCTTTTGTCTGTTTCTCCAATCTTCAAAGCATTCAAAGAGAAAGCATAGTAATTGGTGTCACAGATCATTATCACGCTCTAAGGTAACTGAGGTGTTCACTCATAAGTGGGTCAGTGTTTCTCAAACTCTTGCTTGAACATGAGTTCTGAGAACTAAAAGAGAATACAGGAGGGTCGGGGGAGGGAATTCAGTGTTTAAATCTGGGAAACACTCTTAGACATTTACAATGCACATTGCCATTTTACAAACTTAGTTTATGGTCTTACTTGACATGAAACTTTTTTTTGTTTTCCTTGAAGGAATTCAGATCTGAGGATACCAACTGGGAGAGTGCTAAACCTGTAGTGTTGCCCTAGGGGTGTGTGGATTACCAGAGTGTTTTTATGACTGTGATAGTGAGACTCAAAACTGAATATGTTACTTCCCAGGTGTCAGGCAAGCACTTCATAAGACTTCTTTCAGTCATTATGAATTGGCTGTGAAGTGCTGTTTTGCTGTTGAGAGTATTGTCTGTATCCTGTGGTCCAAGGGCTTTTATCTTTCTATCATGTGATAGTATCTGTTTACATTCAGTTCTGACATGAAAAAATAATTTATTCAGGATATCTTTATATCTTGCTAAAATATTTTTATGGAATTAAGATTGGTTATGGCTTCTGTTGGGAATTTCAGAGGCTTTAGCCTAAACAGAATAATTTATTGGCCAAATACTTTTGGAATCAACTTTATTATGGCAACTTCTTCTGATAAATTTAAAAAGAGAATTAGTATGTACTCTTCTTAGCTTGTCACACAGCTTCTCATCTTGTCTCCCCCCACATTTTCCATCTCCTTTTCACAAAAGTACTAACCTTCTAGACTTTCTTGGTTCTTAAACCCCACTAGGTAGTCATTGAGCACCAACTCTGTTCACATGGAGCACTGGTGTCACAATGGTTAGGTGCTTAGTTGCTAAAGAAATGTTGGCAGTTTGAACTCACCAGCCACTCCTCAGGAGAAAGATGCAGTAGTGTGGTTCCATAAAGATTACAGCCTTGGAAACCGTATGGGACAGTTCTGCTTTGTGCTGTAGGGTCGCTGTGAGTCAGAATCTGGTTTTAACTTTGCCAGGTGCTGTGGAGTACAGACGTATAAAAGGTGCTGTTCCTACCCTTGAGGAGTTTTGTTTCAAACACTGCCTCCCAAACAGTCATGCTTTACTTTGAATGTAGAAGAAAATACATTTTGTCTACATAACTTTGTTTTCAGATGTGAGAAGGGTCAGCTTCGTTCTTTCAGTAGATGGCACTGTTGAGTTAGCTTGGAATTCCTAGATTTCTTTGTTCATGATTTATACTTAGATTATTAGTATTTATTTCTTGAACTCTGTTTGTTCTATGATTTGACATGCCATCTATATCTTATAGTTAATGAGTGGTAAAAGCCATAGATTGCTATTTGAAAAGTAGTATGAATTTTATTTTATAAATTGGCATGTATGTCACTGATTTCAAAAGTTTCAAGAGTTATACATATTCTTTCATTCATGCGAACCTCAGGAGTGTGTGTTCTAACACTGACTGTCACGTTTATGCAAATAATAATAACCTTACTTTCAAAAAGAAATTAACAGTGTGATTCATCAGCTTCAGGTGCATCTAGAAGACCCTGGGTACTTGGAAAAGTAATGGAAAAGGAATACTGTCAAGCCAAGAAGGTAAAACAATTGACATTGTATATGATATGAATCTAGAAATTACAGAAAAGATAATCTTTTGCTTTATATAGAAATTGTTACTAGTGCTGTGCTTGGCCTTTCAGCTCACTTCAGTTTGAGCTTAAATTAAATGAGAGTGAATTTGAACCCACAGTTTTGTTAAGTGTTTGTATTATTTGTAGACATCAGAATAAATTAGCCACAATCCATCCCTATAAGGGAATGCTACTACAAATTTTCTGTTCTCTAACTAGTGTTTTCATATGCAAAAGAAGAGCACTACTTAACTGGTGACTAAAGGTGAATTTTTTTTTTTTTTTTTGTAGGAAGACTTGATGTTTTCTTATTTTTATACCCTACCCCCATTGAAGAATGAAATGTAAAAAATTCGATAACTAAAAATACACCTGATAGTAATGTCAGCAGTATCAGTGCTATAGAATTAGTGAGATCTACTATGCATTCTTCCTGCCTCACTGTAATTTTGGGCCTTAGTGCTGCAAAACACTGAGAAAACTTAAAACTGTATATTATTGAGGTTTGTTTGATACTTAATCACATAAGGCTCACTTTGTACTAAAATTCATGTATTTTAGCAATGATTATCAGCTTTTTTTTCCATCAGTAATAGTGACTCAAAATAATGCTAAGCTGGTGAGGCATGACTTTTGTGTAGTTTGAGAAAGACTCCTCTACTACCCCAGCTGTGAGTAGTACGACAGAAGGTTACTTGTGTAATTTGGTTTAGTCATTCAAGTGATTCCCTGTTTTCTTTCCTTTCTAGGCACAAAACCGATTTAAAGTTCCTTTGGGGACAAAGTTTTATAGAGTGAAAGCAGTGTCCTGGAATAAGAAAGTATAATTTATAGAAAAAATTAATAACATTCTGTGACATTTTTCTGATCTGTTCTAGAGTGCTCATTCATCACTCCAAAAACAGCAGGCCATCTTTTTATACTAAGTCAGCGTGACAATACTCTTCACTGGTGTACAGCATTGACTTTTTAACTGGCTTCATTTTAGAAACAATAAATTCATCGAAACCCTTGGCTGAATTAAAATGGTTTTGTTTTTGTTTTTTTACCCAGATAACTCTAAAAATGTGGACCAAACTAGTTCATTTTCTCAAAGAGCATACCCTGTGCATTGTGGCTTATAATTAGCCATATTAATTTCCTGTTAAATATACATTAGCTTAAACTTAGATGTTAAATGTTAGTTATTATTACCAGCATTTGTCCTTTTGTGAAATCAGTATCAGATACTTGCACTCTTTAACACATTCTTTATAAAGTGTGTAAATTCTTCAAAACTATTTAAAGAGGAGTATTATTGCATGCAGATAATCATACTTTTGAGTTTGCCTCTGTAGATTACTAAAGCAAATTGTTTCATTTATTTTTTTAAATGCCCTTTGATGTTTCAAGGAAAAAGGAACTCGGTAATTCAATTGACTGATTTTTAAGATCAGCCATAAGTTATCAGCAATCTCTAAAAGCACTTTCAGTGATTGGTCATCTGGGTTCTAAAGGGAAGAAGAGTCTGTGCCATTGACAGTTTCAAATGAAGCACTCAGACCTTCCCATCTTCATGACTCTGTTTAGAATAATCATATTGATGAAATCGTAATTCATGGTTGAGTTTCAGGAAAAAAGATATTCATTGTACATTAACAATATAGAGGTCATTTAAATAACAAAATATTGTATTGTAAAAGACATGTAGAATTTTAAAACAATAAAGATTTGAACCTGTATATGTGTGTGCCTTTTAAAGGATACATTTTTAATAAATTTGAGTGACTGCTGAGAAGTGTGAAAAAATTGTTCTGTATCATATCAAAGAGAAACATGTTTATTAGAAAAATGTTCTTTAACTATATACTATGTAACAGGGTAAAACAGTGTTAACTATAATAGAATTGTGTAAACTAGATCTGTAGAGAAGAAGCCATTGAGCAAGAGTATTTAAATGAGTTAGTTGAGTTGGGTAAGACTTATTTCAGGTTTTTTGCTAGAGAACAATAATAAAATGATTCTTTTTTCAGAAAATACTTAGTTTCTTCACAAAATAAGTTAAATATTTTTTTAAATATGTATATCTAGTAGTACAGAAAATGGAATAAACACCATAGTGTATAGAAAACTGAATTGGACAACATATTCATGAATAAACAGATGATTTCACATGTTTCTATTTAATCTTTCCATGATGACATCTTTATGCAAAGCATACAAAAGCAGTAAATTATATGCTTAGTGGTTGGGTCTAAATGAATCTACCAGATAAGCCATTTTGACATATGGCCTTAAAATGTAATATGTGGTCATTGTGCTGTAGAATTGTGATGTGCTGGCACATGGCATCAGTCCGTCATCTCATTAGTGTTGTTCATTGATGCTGGATTTTGTTGCTTATAGTTTAATATCCTGGTTTATAACACCCCATCACTTTTCATGTATACCTTTATAAAACAAGAAAGTGAAACAATTTTCGTAGTCAAAAAAGAAGAAAAATGAAACATGGAAATCTAAACTGATCATTTGAGCTCTTTGGGTGGTTAAAGGCAGTTGCATCCTGTGAGCTTTGAGTCTGGATGCGTGAGTTCCAGTTCCAGATGTAACTTTAACTTCGGGCGAGCTACATGAACTCTGACCCTCACTTTTCTCGTGTAAAATGGAATGATAATAGGACCTACCTCATAGGGTTATTTTGAAGATTAAAAGAGAATTATAAATTTAAAGGTCTTTGGGCAATATCAGAATGTTAAAAAGTTAACAAAAGTTAACTGTATTACAAAGGTTTTGCTGATTAATAATCAAAACCTTTAAAGCTACTGTTTAGACTCTAATAGAAATATGATTTTCTTTATTACTTGAATGAATATTTAAATTTCATTGTACTTCAAGTAAACTTTAAGCATACTTGAATTACATAGTTTTATTTATTTTGGCAAAAGTACCTGAACATACTAGGAACAGAATGAGGAAAAATAAACTTCTAATGATTTTTAAAAAGTCATCAAAGGGTAAAACATACACACGATTTAAAAAATAATAATGATGATTTTAACAGTATGCCCCAAAGCGTCTGCCTTATTCCACAATTCTGCTCCCTAGAGGCCATTGGTTTTATCTTTTTAGCCATTTTTATCTGTTGTACTAAATTATAGACTACACTGCTGCTACTTTATAAATCAACTTAGCATCATCATTTTACTCTCTTATAATAAAGTGAAGATTTTGTTCTTTCATAACCCTACTTCCCTGATATCCTCTTTCCGCTGTAGTATATTACTTTCTAGTTTGTTCATTAGGATTCACATTATCATGATTCTCTAAGTAGTCTGCTGAGCCAAGTCATGAACAATGATTGTTTCCTTTGTTGCATAGCCCATAGTTTTTCGTTGAAGTTTTTATGGCTTATGTCTTCTTGTGCTATTATCTTGTAATTAGCAGTAGACTTAATTCTTTTCAAATGCTTTTTCATTTATTACTCTGTCAAGAACCATTTTTCTCAGAGACCTTCATTTTGGAACCGTGAGTTCTGCTTCAGACAGATGTGGTTGCTCTCTAAGCATACTATTTCATAGCTGTCATCCTAGGACTTCCCTTAATATAGTTGTTAGAAAGCCATTGTTTCTTGGGTTCGCTCTTCTGGAGCTTATGACCAAGTAAACCTCCTAAGGAAGAATTGGAGGGAGATAAATTTCGTGAGTGATTACATGTCTGCAAATGTAATAGGCTCTCACTTGATTGACAGTTTAATTAGATACAGAATTTTACTGACATTCCATTGTCTTCTGTTAAGAAATCTTGTGCCATTCCATTTTGTGTTCTTTTATACACTCCCATTGGTCCCCAGAAAATTTTAGGAGCTTTTTTGTAGTCCTAGTATAATGAAATAATATGATACTGTGCAGTTCCCACCCCAACCCCAGTGAACTCTTAAAACCCATGGCACTAGAGAAAAATAGAAGAATGGAGGACTACCATGCTTAACATTGGGTAAGGGTTTGAGAGAGTTGAGAGAAAACAAAGGAAATTAAAATTTATGTTTTTCTCTGACCACTTGATCTTATGTTGATAGTCATGGTTTTAATTTCCAAGAGTGCTGATTATGTTTTCATGAATCCTGTGTATGCATTTCTCTAATTATATTTGGTCTCTAATTATATTTAGTTTCATGTTGGAATCCTTACTCCAATGTTTGGTGATTTTTTTCTTGTCCCTTTGTGCGTGTGTGTGTTTGTGTCTTTATATTTATACATATATGATTCCCATGGTGGTGCAAAGGGTTAAGCACTTGACTGCTAACCAAAAGGTTGGTGGTTCGATCCCACCCAGAGGCACCTCGGAAGACAGGCCTGGTGATCTGCTTCCAAAAGGTCACAGCCTTGAAAACCCTAAGGAGCAGTTCTACTCTGCACACATGGGTTCACAATGAGTTGGAATAGACTTGATAGCAACTAACATATATATATATATATATATAACAAAATATTTGCCATTTCAACATTTTTTACATATACAATTGGGTAATGTTAATTATGTTCGTATTGTGCAACCATGCTGCTATTTCCAAATTCTTCCATCACTCTTGATAGAAACTCATTGCCCCCTAACCAATAACTCCCCATTCCCCCTTCCTACACACCCCTGGTATTCACTAATTAACTTTTGGTCTCTACATTTGCCTATTCTAGATATTTCATATAAGTGTGATCCTACAGTATTTGTCCTGTTGTGACTGACATTTCACTCAGCATGTTTTCAGGGTTTACGCATGTTGTAGCAGTATCAGGACCCCATTTTTCTTTACGGCTGGTTATATCCCATTTTATGTATGTCTTCATTAGTCATTACCATTAACCCATTGCCGTAGAGTTGTTTCCGACTCATAGTAACTGTAGGACAGTAGAACTGCCCCATAGGGTTTCCAGGGTGCAGCTGGTGAATATGAACTGCCAACCTTTTGATTAGCAGCTGAGTTCTTAACCACTGCAGCACCAAGGCTCCTCATCAGTTATATAAAAAAAAAGTCTTTGCCGCCGAGTCGATTGCAACTCATAAGAACCCTGTAGGACAGAGTAGAACTGCCCCCATAGGGTTTCCAAGGAGCAGCTGGTGGATTCGAACTGTCTACCTTTTGATTAGCAGCTTAACCAGTGCACTACCAGGGCCCCCATTAGTCATCAGGGAAATGCAAATCAAAACTGTAATGAGATAAATCACTTCACCCCTACTAAGATGGCTATGATTGAGGGGGAAAAAAAACAGCTGTTGGTGATGATGTGGAGAAATTGGAACACTCATCCACTGATGGTGGGATTGTAAAATGGTGTGGCAGCTGTGGAAAACTGATGGTTCCTCAAAAAATTAAACATGGTCCAGCAGTTCCACTTGGGCATGTATCCAAAAGAATTGAAAGTAGGGATGGAAACAACTTCTATACCAATGTTCATGGCAGCACTGTTCACCAACAGCCAAAGGTAAAAACAACCTAAATGTCCATCAACAGATTACTTGTCCTTTCATTTTCAAAAGTAGGACGCTAAAAAGCTGGTTTCAAACTCTATTTTTAACCCCTTCTCATGCCCTGAATCCAGGAAATGGAGAAAAATTGATTCTAGAATTGTAATTTAAACCTTTAAGAGATCTAGGCCTTTTAAAGATAAGAAAACAGACCCAGAGGCATAAGTAGCTAAGCTGAGAGTCAAATCGATGGATCCTGAATTCTAGCATAGTGGTCTTCTAGTTAGGAGTAAACTAAATGTATGACCTAATTTTCTCCAGTGGTTAGAATAGTTTTTGTGAATGTTACTCTTTCTAGCCTTGGTGGGGCAATGGTACATGGGCCTCAGAGAAAGGATCTGAGTGATGTGTATTTGCTGGCTCTTAAGACTCCAGTATTTGCCTCAAGTGCTTTGAAGAAGTTATATCCTACTTCCTGCTTATTCAAAGTTGAGGGCCAGAGACTTTTTTCAACTTTGAAGAATTTCTGTACATTTTAGTTTAGCATAGTACAACTCCCTTGAAAACTTTGTGGGCTTCCTATTCCTATAAATCAGATTGGAATTTAACACATGCCCTTTAAAACCATAATTCAGAGAGAGGTCTCTGTAGTGCTAGAGTGCTGTTGGAAAACACGCAAGATTCTTATAAGCCCTTTAAGTCTAGCTAATAGGGTTTGCCAACGTGAGCAGCATCCGGGTGCCACGCCTGCGCAGGATCCTCCGGGCCCTGGCCTAGCTCTACCCCGAGATCGGCTACTGCCAGGGCACCGGCATGGTGGCCGCCTGTCTCCTGCTGTTCCTGGAGGAGGAGGATGCTTTGTGGATGATGTGCGCCATGGTTAAGGACCTGCTGCCCACCTCCTACTTCAGCACGACCCTGCTGGGCGTCCAGACAGACCAGCGCGTCCTGCGCCACCTCATCGTCCAGTACCTGCCTCGGCTGGACAAGCTGCTCCAGGAACACGACACTGAGCTGTCCTTGATCACGCTGCACTGGTTCCTCACGGCCTTCGCCAGTGTGGTGCCCCTCAGGCTGCTGCTGCGCATCTGGGACCTGTTCTTCTATGAGGGCTCCCTGGTGCTGTTCCAGACCACGCTAGGCATGCTGCGCCTCAAGGAGGAGGAGCTGATTGAGTCAGATAACTCGGCCTCCATCTTCAACACGCTGTCGGACATCCCGTCGCAGACCGCATACGTAGAGCTGCTGCTGGGTGTGGCCGTGCAGCTGGCTGGCTGCCTCACGGACGTGGCTGTGGAGACCCAGCGCTGCAAGCACGTGGCCTACCTCATTGCAGACCAGGGCCAGCTCCTGGGGACCAGCACTTAAATCCTTCTGAAGTTTTAGTGAAGGGCAGAACAAACACACTCTTTCTTGATTTGACCAGGAGCCGGAAACAATTTCTTTGAGAGCCGTTATCTTGCGGGAGAGACTGGACCCAACGCAGCAGGTCCTGGGTCTCCCTTATTTCTGGTAAATTCAACTTGCAAACTGAACAGTTTCTCTAGATCACCTCTGTCTTGCCATGCTTCAGCGAATTGACGCTTTGAACATTTCCTTGAAATCTTAACCAGATTGACAAGTTTGGTAATTTTGCTAGTTGTTTAGCTACTCTCTTTAGCTACTATTAGCCACGATCTTCCCATCTTCAGTAACATTTTCTTCCCTTTTCCGATCTCTACTGATAGTTTGTTCACAATTCTAGCCTTGGTGGGGCAAGGCTACATGTTCTGAGTTTTGTACACCAATTTCTGTATCAGGTATATATATTGCTGTGTAACTGATCATCCCAAAACTTGGCTTAAAATAACCATTTATTTGCTCATGACTGCAGTTTGGGCTGGGCTCAAGTGTGGTTCTTCTGCTAATCTCCCTTGCAGTCGCTCATATGGCTGCAGTCATTTGTCGGCTTCACTGGGACTGAATGATCCAAAATGCCCTCCTTGCACGTCTGTGGTTAGGGAAGACTGCAAACGGGGATGCCTTATTTCTTCATGTTGCCTCCAAAAGATCCTGAGTTTCTTACACAGTAGCAGGAGCTTTCCAAATAGTGAAAACAGAAGTTTGAGGCTTGGAAATCACATGACGTCTCTTCTACCACTCATGGGTGTGAGGAGCTGCAAAAAACAAAAGGCAAAAAAAATTGTTGAGAATACACAGCTGAACATACACCAATTCAACACTTTCTACATGTACAATTCAGTAACATGTTCTTCGAGTAGAGCAACCATTCTCACCCTCCATTTCTGAGTTGTGTCTTCCCCATTAACATAAACTCACTGTCCCCTAAGGTTCCTATCTAATATTTTGAGTTGCTGTTGTCAGTTTGATCCCACATAGATAGATCTTAAAGAGTGCATAATGCTCAAGGCAGATATTCTTTAATAGTTAAGCTGAACTGTTATTTGATTTTAAGAAGACATCAGGAAATACTTTTGGTTTAAGGTTTAAAGATCTTCTCATGGCAGTAGTTTCACAAGTTTGTCCAGCCTCCATGGCTCCAGAAAGTCTGGATTCTATGAGAATTTGAAATTCTATTTTTCAATTTGCCCCTTTTGGTGAGGATTCTTCTATAGAATCTTTGATCAAAGTGTTCAAAAACTGGCCTTTTTAAACCACCACACTTCATTTTGAAGTTAGACATAAAACAGCTATAACCCTTTAAGATGTAGATACAGATTAATAGATATCCTTGGAGGTTATAAAAAACCATAGCACTTAATGATGCCTAAAGTCACCAATCTGGGTATTTAAAATCTGATGGTCCTCAGTTTATTTTATTATATTTAGTAGTGATAACTGATAAGTAAAAATTGTTAACATCCACTAATTGATTGTCTTATGTTAGTCATACTCTTAGTACATAAATAGGCTGTCTTCGACCAATTAAAAAAATACTTTGTATAATTATAATTTGATGGGTAAAATGGAAATTCTTCAAACAATTCTTAACATAGTGGTAATGAGACTGAACAGTCCAGCTGTAAGCTATGTGGTTTACATACTTCTTAGGTGTCTCAGACTTGGAGACCGTTTAGATTGAGCTCCACCTGTTTGTTTCATTTCCACCTTAAAATAAATAAGGCTTAGAAGCAATATAGTTCCAATGTTAGTAGAAACATGTAATAGCCCCAGGATAACAAAATGCAAGATAAGTCCTTGATGTACTCTTGTAACCCAAGCAATAATAATACGCAAGAATACATCATGTAAGGGATACCTCCTTATCTGGTATCTATGCCCACTGAAACACTGTTCTCTTAAACAATTTTAACAGATGTCACCCTTTTCCTACAGAGCAGGGTGCTAAGCCTGCTAGAGGCAGGAGTCCCCACAACTACAGAATTTATCACTAAAATTAAATGTTGGTAGTTTAGGAATTTCCAACACTCAGTGGCTTTCGAGAGCTATTTTTAGAAACATGTTGCTTCAGAATAACCTTTCCAGTTTTGTGGAACTTAATAGCAAAGATGCTTCTGACAATCTAATCCTAATTCCAAGTCAATGGTGTAACATCCTTGTCTTAGACTGATTTAGAAATAACAGCAATTAATTTCTCTAATAGAGTGGTAATGTCTCTCATTGAATAGTTAATATAAGTGTTGCTTGTAATCTCTTTGGAATTCTGTTGAAAGCAAGTATCAGTGGATGTCTACATAACCAGCCTAGGCTTCCAACATGAATTGTTTAGTTTCTTAGAGAATGAATTCTTAAATCTGACAAAAG